TCAAAAACTACTGCCAATTCTAAAAAAATGAATGGTCATGAAGGGAAAACAACGTTCTTCACAAGTCTACCAAAACAGCATGAAGAAGTGGGCATATTGGATTGTTCAGGAGTTTACTGCATAGCATGCTGCGCTTGCGAACAGAAATAAATTTGCGAAACAGGGAAAAAAATTAGCATACGAATCATGGATAAGAAAGTCTCGTTAGAAAAATCGATACCAAAAGATCAGAATTAGCGGAACATTTCGCAAAGACTGGACACGCGATCAACTAGAAGGTAACTGAATGAAGGGCCTTATATGGAGAAAATACAAGGAAGCGGAGGATTAAAGAGTCCATTGACACCCTTGGGGAAAAGAATATAACGAACAGGAGATTGGAGGAAAGCAGAATTAGCGACAACTTTGCTTACTGCTTTAGCAATATCTGGAAAAACAAGAATATCGCAAGTCCCCAAAATAAAGATTCCTGGCTCAAGAATCTATCGCTGACCTGCGGAAAATGGATCGCGATGAGAAAAATGGGGTGGAAATGTCTGAAATCAACCGAAGATGTTATCAGTAAGAGATGTCTGTTCAAAGAAACCGGTAAAACTTAGGGGTTCTATAAGTCAAGTAACTAGAAAGATGGATAAGCACAACCATATTGACTTAGCCTAAATGTTTTTCATTTATAAAGTGGATATACTTATTGTTTTAGTATTCCCGTTTTTATTCCTGAAGTCCATTAGAGTAATCCCTTGTGTCTTTCATATCTCGGTTTATTTATTTTAAAAATAGAATACATGTATAATGCTTAGATTTTTATTTTTTATTTTTTTATTCGGACAGCATTCAATTTTGGGTTTCGGAAAATTTTAATGCAATAGACTATAACAGTTTTACCCTTACTTATTTTAAATCTTTTTATAAATAAACGCAAACCGGCTCCATATAAAATCTTAATATAAAATACAATTTTTGTGCAATCAATATTTGATTTGTATTCGCTTTGGATTTACCTTTACCGAACCCGCCTGTTCTGTCTGTCTTCATGTCTCCCGTCTGTTGCCTCACATAATGTTATCATGCAATTCTTTATTTGTCTTGCTTCTATTCCTCACAGTAAATTATATATTTTTGAGCTGTTTCTTACGCGTGTAGCTGTCAATTAACGCTTCTCACTCCAGTCGACATCCAAAATTTAACTATAGCACAGACATTTTATCAAGTTGTGAGTCATTACTCTAAATTGAGG